AAAAAAACTCAGGGTTTCGTATGTTTTTCAATTTGAACCCCATAATTTCAACCCAATATTTTGATTTCAACAAATTAAATCCTATACTTATGTGTTTTGGGAAAAAAAAAACCCAGGTGTTTCAACAAATTAAATCAGTGGTGTTTGAAATAATAATAATAATAAATAAATGAATAAAAAGCATCAATCTCCATCTGTTTAACGTAATCGAGAATCGTCTTGGGATTTAAAGTGAAAAATGAATGAAATCTTGGGAAGTTTTTTGTAATTAATCTTAATATTTAATTATTTGTGTGTGTATATATATAATTTACATATCTTACTGTATATATGGTGAAATTTTTTTATTCAAATTTTGACTTTTCAATGATAAAATTTTGATTTCGTCCCATCCCTAATTTTGGTAACTATGTAAGAAGGGACGAAATCAAAATTATTATATTTATATATTTATAATAATTTATTATGTCATTTATTATTAGTATTTTAATTGAACAAATTTAATAGGATCTTATTACTTATGTCTATTGTTAATACCGTATTTAACATATATTATGTGATAAAGTATCTTGAAATTTGTTAAATACATTATTAGCAATAGACATAAGCAATGAGATTCGTTAATTCGGTTCAATTAAAATACAGATAAGAAAGGACATAACAAATTATTATAAATATATAAATATAATAATTTTGATTTCGTCCCTTCTTACGTAATAAATTAAGAAGGAATAAAATTAAAATTAGAGACGAAATCAAAATTTTATCATTAGAAAAGTCAAAATTTAAATAAAAAATTTTCACTATATATATAATAAGATATGTAAGTTATATAAAAAATAAAAAATAAAAAAACCACCAAAAGTTTCATACGTTTTTCATTTTAAACTTTAAAATGATTGTCAGTTACTTTACACAGATGGAGATGGACGAGGGGCTACATTGAAATATGAATGGAACTCCAAGATTTAATTTGTCGAAATTGAAATACTAGAGTTCAAAATAAAAAAGGCATGACATCTTGAATTTTTTTTTTATTATTGTAATTAACCCTTTATTTTTTATTGATGCTATTTGCAAAAATGTTAATTATGCCTCCGTTTGGGAAGTAGGTTGACTTTTTGGCTTTTTGACTTTTTTGGCTATTTTAGCCTGGGCTAAAAAGTTTGGTTTGGGAAGGACTTTTTGGCTTTTTGACTTTTTTGATTTTTTTTGTGAGAGAAGAGTGTAATGATTATGTGTTAGATGTGATATTTTGTTTTTTGTGACTAAAATAGCCTATTTTGTCTTTTGTGACTAAAATAGTCAAAAAAGCCCACTTTAGCTCTTCCCAAACGGACCCTATATTAGTACAGGAGAGAACATGATTGAAATATAAATAAATTATATTTGCTAACTTATTAATAAGACTATTGTTGGCTTTAGTAGTAGTTGACAAGAGTCTCGTACTTGAAGAAGCTGAGCTCAAACTTTTTGGACTATGTTTTTCAGAGTACTTGAGGTTGCTGAGTTCAAACCTTCTCGGCTATGTTTTTCAGAACTTTAACCTCATATGTTGAGTTCGGCCAGTTTCCTCAAACTGACATTGGTTCAATCATTGATCTTTTCAATTTAGTAAAAGACAAAAGACCAATTGCGAGCTTGAGGTCGTTGAGTTCAAACTTTCTGAACTACGTTTTTTAGAACTTAACCTCGTGTTGAGCTCGGCCAGTTTCCTCAATCTGACATTGGTTCAACCATTGGTCTTTTCAATTTAGTTAAAAAAAGACTAATTGCGAGCTTGTACGAATTTAAGAGTCTAATTGGACCGGAACTTAGACTGTTAGATGGTTCAACTGGTCAAATCGTCATTAACCTCATGTGTTAAGTTCGGTTAGCTTTCTCAAACGGCATTCATTCAGCCGTTGGTCTTTTCAGTGTAGTAAAAAAAACAAAAAAGACCAATTTTGAGCTTGTAAGGGTTTAAAGGTCTAATTGGACTGAAACTTAGACCGATAAACGATTCAACTGGTCAAATTGACATGTCTGGTTCGGTTTTCAAAACAGTGATTTGGGAATATCCATCCTATGAGGGGCATGTCTAGAGCCTATTTTAATAATTTAGATTTTTTATATTGTAGATTATTAATGAAAAAATTCATATTAATTGAACATCTACCATAACAACACCACATTTCGTTTTTAGAAAAACAAATGGGTAGTATCATTTTAATAATTTTTAAAATACAATTACGGTCTAACTTTAGGACTATGTATGTTCAATTAATTTGATTTTTTTTTTTTAATGGATGATATACTCTACGCATCCTATAATATGCTCAAAACACACCCCCACAAATCTCACAACATGGGTGTTTGGCACAACATCAATCCCAATTTCCATTAATGGATTTGATTAGTCAAATGGGTTTAGTTGAAAATAATAATAATAATAATAATAATAATAATAATAATAATAATTTAATAGAATTTAATGGAATTCATCGATTAAAAATTTGAATGGGTTTGATTAGTCTGAAGACAAAAAAAAAATGTATGCAAATTGAGTTCTATAATATTTTTATTTGTTTCAAAATCCCTTTGTAAAAACAAAATAATGTTGAAACAAAAACACTTAGCACTTCAATTATATAACATGTAGCAACCATATAATATACAAAAAAAACACAACATATAACTATCAAATATAAATAAAATAAACGGTGTCGTTTGCTATCACAATAACATGTTGTGACAGCACGCACTCCCAACCCCCGAATACGTGGCTTGAATTTTTAGAACTTCTTTTATTTTGAAAATATTTACAAAATTTGTAGGTACAGATTTTACTTATAACTTATGAGACAAATTGATATTTTTATAAAACACAATATCCAATTTTTCACAAATACCGACCAAACTAAACTCTTAATGGCCCTAGAATCGAACAAGGCCTTCAAGTTTTCTAGGAAACATCAAAAAAGATTTTTCAGAATTTTTAAAAATGATTTTGTTACCAAAATATATATATATGTGATTACTAGTTTTTTTTTAAATTTTCTTTGTTATTGTTTCAAAAAAACATGAAAGAAAAAATTAAGAATACTAAAACACAACCAAAAGCTTTGCCGACCACATTTACTCTAAACTCTAAAGTCGAATTTAATTGATTTTGCCAACCATTTCATTTTTATCTTCTCCTTAATTTCGGCCCATCACATCTTCATTAAACTAGCATTTCTAAAAAGACTGATGATAATGAAAATGCTAATTATTGAGTCTTCCTTAGAAATGATTGGAAAAGATAAAATTAAACACATCCTCGTGTATAAAACTCTTGATGTATAATAGTAAACATTCTTTTGATAACTTGACCTCTCTCTCTTTTTTTTTTTCTTTTTTCTTTTTTATTATTTATTTAGTAATTTTATTTTAAACACAACTTAAAATATACCTGAAAATGGACTTTCATGTGGCTGTGGAAGAAAAACGTTGTGACAAATATGTGTGACCGAAAAAAAAAAGAAAAAAAAAAAAAAGTACCAATTAACTTAACCGATCAAATTGGATTAAACCGACCAGTTTTAGTTGATTTTTTTTCATTAATTATGATTTGTTCAATTAAAATAAATAAACAAATAACTGTTTTAACAAAAGTGTTCAATTTCATGAATCTAACATATGAGTAAAAACTCGTGGACTACTTGTTTTATTTTGGTGAAGACTTTAAACTTGTATTTTTTAAAGACCTAGTCTATGAATCATGATTTCTATTTTGTTAAATCTATATTTGTAATTTTGTTAGACCATGTTGTGGGCTAGTGCTTTTCTTAAACACTTGAAAACAAATTTTTCTTCTTAATTAAAAATAGTCCTAATTTGAAAAGTTCAAATCGAATCTACTATACTAGTGTCAAACAGGGCCTTAAAGATTTTTAGGGAACATCAAAAAGATTTTTAAAATTTTCAAAAACTATTTTCACACACCATATATATATATATATATATAATTACTCGTATTTTCAAACTTTCATTTTCTTTCTTTAAAAAAATATGATAAATAAAAAAATTAAGAAAACGAAAACATAACCAAAAGCTTTGCCGACCACAGTAACTCTAAACTAGAAGGTTAAGGCTCCGTTTGGTAGAGCTTTGTAACTATGATTTGAGAATATGAGTTGTATTTTGAGTTTGTGTGTTTTAGAATTATGATTTGAAGTTTTAGTTGATTTTTTTTCATTAATTATGATTTGTTCAATTAAAATAAATAAACAAATAACTGTTTTAACAAAAGTGTTCAATTTCATGAATCTAACATATGAGTAAAAACTCGTGGACTACTTGTTTTATTTTGGTGAAGACTTTAAACTTGTATTTTTTAAAGACCTAGTCTATGAATCATGATTTCTATTTTGTTAAATCTATATTTGTAATTTTGTTAGACCATGTTGTGGGCTAGTGCTTTTCTTAAACACTTGAAAACAAATTTTTCTTCTTAATTAAAAATAGTCCTAATTTGAAAAGTTCAAATCGAATCTACTATACTAGTGTCAAACAGGGCCTTAAAGATTTTTAGGGAACATCAAAAAGATTTTTAGAATTTTCAAAAACTATTTTCACACACCATATATATATATATATATAATTACTCGTATTTTCAAACTTTCATTTTCTTTCTTTAAAAAAAATATGAAAAATAAAAAAATTAAGAAAACGAAAACATAACCAAAAGCTTTGCTGACCACAGTCACTCTAAACTAGAAGGTTAAATTTTAATTGATTTTACTAACCATTTCTTTTTTATCTTCTCCCTAATTGTGGCCCATCACATCTTCATTAAGCTTTTGATTTTCGGCATACAATTTTAGAATTTGCATTTCAAAGAGACAGAACGATAAAATGAAAATGCTAATTATTGAATCTTGCACAAAAAGAATGAAAAATAATATAATTAAAGCCCAGCTCATGTATAAATCTCTTGATTTATAATAGTAAACATTCTTTTGATAACTTAACCCTTTGTTTTGTTTTCTTTCTTACACAACTTGAAATATACCCGAAAATGGACTTTTATGTAAGCTATGGAAGACAAGGGAATAGCAAAATGTCTTGCTCACATCGGCTGCATAGAAATATGCTTGGAATTTCTTGATTATTTGGAATCCGAACGCAACGCGTGTGTTGCCAAATTTCACAAATATCACACGACACCATTCGCTCACCGTCGTTGTCTTTGGCTCCACACCCACAATTCATAACACATTTATTTTGAGTACCTTCAAATATATCCTCACTGACAATAATTCCTATCTCCCCAACATTTGTCCCCTCAAACACAACTTTTCCACCCACTTCAACTAACCCGAAAACTAAATCCGATCCCTTAACATTCAAATTCACAATAGATTGTACCACAAAGCTCCTCAATCCCCAATATAACCTTCTAAAACGCTGCTCAACTTGTGTCTTGAGTTCATCAAATGTCGTGTTACTATTTAACGCGAAACACTCATACGGTGCCATCACCTTTTGTAGCCTTTCATCAACATCATTATTGTCCTTTCTCAACACAATTGTACAATAGATCTTTGATTTTGATGCAATGCCTACTTGTACTTTTAGCTCTCCTCCACAATGTTCTTTGATAAGATACTTGGTATCAAGAATTATCCTTGAAGCTAATGGAATTGTTGCCAATATCCCCCAAGTCATTGTTGTCTTTTGCTCCTTAAGGACGTGTTTGTACAAGTAAAACATGTCCTTCATGAGTTGTACCCTTGTGATCATGTACCGTGCTTTTGTTTTTGAATCACTTGTAGTTAAACCTTCGTGATCATTGAGACACGCGTTGGATACATCCTCCAAGCAATATTCTAGTACTTTTGTAACCGGATTTAAGCTGCGACGAACCAAATAGTTCCCTACTATGTGGTTTCCAAGTGACTTCAACACGAAGTCTAGTAGACCTGTGTCACCGATGTAGGCACGTGCAGTGTCTCGAACTTCTTGCCTTGATACCCACCTAAATTCAGCCCTCTTTAGGGCTTCAACAATCACTCTAGTGGCCATTTCAACTCTCTTAGGAGACCATCTACAAGATTTTTCAACCAAAATTCTAGAGTTGTAGGAGTCAACACAACTTTCTTTTGGAAGGCGTGATTTGAGCTCTAGCATAAAATGGAATAGATCACCTAATGTCGCCAAGGAATGCCCCGAAAGCGTTTGATATCTAGAGAATATGATTGAAATTTCATGATTGGAGTTGCCAAGATGATGAACAAGCAAGGACAATGGTATACTTTGTATGGCTTCAATGGCTTTTTGGTACATTGATTGAGTAACACCATACGTTCCACGCCCAAATTTATAGCCCCATCGACCAAACCATGGCTCACCATGTGCTATTCCATGGAGTAACCTCAAATCCATGCTTTTCTTCTGTGAAATATCGTTTAAACTCACTTTCCTACCAAATAAAGTACAAAACAAAATTTTAAGTTATTTTTAGATAAAATTTCAATTATTTTTTTAGACATAATGAAAGTGACAGTTGAGTTGCTCTTATCGTATCATTTTAGTGGAAAGCTTTGGCTGTGTTTGGTTTGTGTTTCACACCATGATTCCATACTAATAATCAACCCTCTGTATGTACATAGTTTTCAAATCTTGATTCCAAATCAATTTCAAAACACACTTTAAAAGCACGTTTGGTAAATTAGAGAATTTTTTGAATTTTTGGTCTACATGGTTGTCTGCCCGGACATCCGCCTAGACAATTTTTGAATTTTTGAATCTACCCAGTCGTCCGGCCAGTTAACCGGAACAATTTTTTTTTTTTTGGCAATTGGCACCTGTTATTAGGGGGGAAAATTTATATTTAGTTTTGATATTTTTTAAATATAGAAAATATTTTTTTGAGACCAAAATGACAAATTATTTGGATATTTATTTAAAATTAACAAAAAAAAATGAAATAAAAATTAATTTGTCACAGTAATTTTTAAAAACTAAAAAAATAATAATATTTTTCTTTTAATATTTTAAATAAAAAATATTTTTGAATTTTTTTTAATTTTTTAAATAAAAAAATTATTTTTTGTCAATAATTATTTATTTAAATTGAATTTTAAAAAGAATTTGGTTATGAGTTTTGAATAGAATTTTCAATAGAGTTTTAAGTTGTGTGTTTGGTTATAAGTTTTTGAATTAAGTTTTGAAAACTCTTTTCAAAACTTATAATCAAATAACTTTTCATAAACTTAACACTCAATTCAAAAATTCAACACTCAATTCAAATCATAATTTAATTTTTTTTTTTAAACTTATAACCAAATAAATTTTCTCTATTCAAATAATAATTTCAAAATTTACAAACTTAAAATACAACTCTACACTTAAATTATAATTCTAAACACAAACCAAATGCTACATTTATTACTACATTTCGTGTTCGCAAAAAAAAATAAATACATAATTTGTGAAATTTATCTATTAATTGGGATTTTCCATCTTTGAGTTGGGCCCTCTAGCAAACGCAACATAACTTGGTGATGCGACCATGCTACTAAAAATTTGGGCTACAATGTAGTTTGGGCCCTTCGAGTGAGATAAAGTCAATTACAAGAGGCCTTCATCGTAAAGGCTGAATGGATTTTACTTTAAGGCTATGTTTGTTTTAATGTAAAATTTTTATATATAAAAAAAATATTATTTTTATAAATTGATTTTATACATAAAAAATATTTTTGTTTTTTATATTTTAGCATTTGGTTTATACTTGAAACACAAAAAAAATTTATTGCCTAAAAAATATTTTTTGATTTAATAAAGTGTTATTTATGGCTTTTTAGTGAACTAAGATATTTATTTCAAAATGTTAAATGCGTTGAAAAGGTAGTGAGTAAGAGTCAATTTTGTAAAAATTGACTTACGAAAATTTTAAAGGTAAGCCAATTTTGGAAAAATGAAGCAAACATATTTTCTTTAAAAACTGTTTTACTTACTTTTTGTTCAACCAAATAACAAAAAAAAATAAAATATTATAAAAATATTTTACGTTAAATGAAATTAGGCCATCGTTTCATATACCCATTGTGATATTTTGAGGCAAAGCACCTTTTTTTTTTTTTTTTCTTTTTATTGGTAGAAAAGAAAAGAAAACCAAAAGATAAACAAAAAGTTATACGTTTTATTTGTGATAAATTCATTTCTATGGAGATATGGCATTAGGTCCAAAAATTGATCTTTTATAAAGATAAGGACATGATTAATAAAATTGTTTAGTGAAAAGAACAAATTATTAATTGAAAAAAAAAGTTCTATTCCGCCAAACAAGTTGTTGAAAAAATGGCCGAAAAATTTGCTAATGATGATTGATAGTAGTGGTGATATGAATAGATAAACAAATTAATTAGATAAATAGGTAATGTCGACAAATAAGTGGACATCAAACAAATCAAAAGATAAATTGGAGTAATAATATACCATTTTGACCCCCAAAATTGTAAATTTGAATTTATAACTTGTGTACAAAAATATACGACCCCTTTAGGCAATGTGATGTTTGGAGGCAAACACTACTAGAAAATAGGGCTTTTGAGTCGGCAGCGGTTGAAAAAATGGCCGAAAAATTTGCTAATGATGATTGATAGTAGTGGTGATATGAATAGATAAACAAATTAATTAGATAAATAGGTAATGTCGACAAATAAGTGGACATCAAACAAATCAAAAGATAAATTGGAGTAATAATATACCATTTTGACCCCTAAAATTTTAAATTTGAATTTATAACTTGTGTACAAAAATATACGACCCCTTTAGGCAATGTGATGTTTGGATTAAACCAGACCTGGCCCAACAAGGTCCAATTTATCAAGCCCATTCAAGTTTTGTTTGAGTTTTATATGGGCCGGCCCAATTTATATGCCTTTCTAACTAAATTCTTCGTTGTGTACCTCAAAAAATATTGAGGAAAATTACAAATTAGGTCTAGTTTTCAAAAATAATTACGTACTTGTGGAAATATTTATGACTTTAATAGTTAATGTGTAAACTTTACGATGAATTTGAAGAAAAAAAAACAAAAATCAATCACATACTGATTGGTTATTTCCCAAAAAAATTATACACACAACATATTTTTTTTTAATAAAAAAACTAAATAAAACTTCACACAAAGATTAAGGGCCTGCATATTAATTTAAAAAGTAAGTTACACCAACCTCCTATGAAGTTTGGACAAAATATAGTAAATTTTATAATTTTGGTATAATTAAACTTGACTTCATTTTAGTAAGACAAAAGAGAACAAAACTAATTGGAATGGTGTAAAGATACAAAAAAATAAAAATAAAAATAAAAATAAATAATAAAAAAAAAAGTGTAAAAACATATATTTCAGTATAAAAGATATTATAATATCATCTTTCGATCAATATAACTATTACATTACTGGTAAAAAGGAGGCTAATACTTATATGAATTAAAACCATAATGAATCGTAATGTAATTAAGCCAAACTTATGGACTTATTATATTTTCTCCAAATCTTGAGTAGTTGGTACAGTTGACCCTAATTTGATAGTTGAAATGAGAAACTAATAAAATGGGGTTAATTTCATTTTCATCATCTGAACTATCATCATTTATTTTTCCATTTCATCCCTATACTATTAATTTTGTCCATTTAGCTCCTAATTTTATTTATTTTTTTTAATTTCAGTTCATTTGGTCCAATTAAAGGCACTTCATCAAAATCAGTAATCATTAAAACCTAGTTTAATAGACAAGAATGTTATTTCAAAATTTAAATAACTTAAACCATACAATCCATTACTCAATTTTTATTCACTATTTGAAATGAGGGATGAATGGAAATATGAATATTTAGTTGTAGTATGTAAATTGTCTAATACAATGTGAGTGAGAAGATGGACGTTTGGTTGTACAATTTAAGTTGTTCAAATTATAAAATTACTCTCTTACCCATTAAATTAGGTTTTATCAGTTATTGATTTGGATGAGCTGTTTACAATTGGACAATATCAATTAAAATCATAAACTTTAGCGACTAAAGAGATGAAATGGATAATTTAAATATGAAATAAAAGAAAATAATAATAATAATAATAATAATTTAAAAGATAAAAGTGAAATTGAGTCAATAAAATGTGAAAATGGGCTGACCTCGCTTGCAAACCACTGCAAAGCCGATCCCAAAAGTCCATGATCTGGCAACCGGGCAGGCCCGAGCCCATTTCGAGCCCATTGACACAAAGCAAATGCCCAAACCCATTGGAATGGAAGACACCATGCATGATATGGCCCTGCAATTCTACTAGATTGGGCTGGGCCTTTGTTGAATCAGGTGGCCTGCCGTGATAGTTCAAACAAGCCACAACTGTGTCCTTGGATGGCATCAAAAAATGGTACTTCTTATTGCATATCATGTGGTGTCCCCAACCTGAGCTACAATGGAATTAGCAGAACCATGCATGAGAGAGAAAATAAATCGTACTTATAGGTTTTGTTTGATTAACGTGATTAATAGTGAATGGATTAATAATTCATGAGATTAGTATATGATTAATTATTTAATTAGATTAGTGATATAGATAATTCTCTGTTGTCTACGTCTATTTTGTAATGAATATGAAAATATATGTTTGTTTTGTATTATTAATTGTAGAATTAAAAAAAAAAATCACTAATTTTATTAGATAGAATATTTATCGAAATATAATCTAAATAACAAAAATTATAACTAAACAATGGAATATGAACCCCATTTATTAATAATCTCAATCAATCTTATGTTATAATCCGTCCAATTAATCAGGCTCCGTGAGCGAGAGAGATGGGTGTATGGTTGCATACATCTTCTCATTCTCAAACTTCGTTTTAACAAGAGTTTTGTACATTGAATCCCTTTTTTTCACATCATTGAGTCTATACACATAAAAATCAATCATAGAAACGGACAAATAATTTATATAGACAGATAAGATTTTACAAAAGTGGACTCGACTATCAAATCCTTTAAAATTTTGTCTATGTATGTGCATATACTTGGTTCTGTGATCGATTTCTATCTTTATAGTAGAATTTTTTTTAGGGTTAAATTTATTTTACCCCCTTGTGGTTTGAGGCTGAAGCACTTTATTCCTATTGTTCAAATATAACAAGAAAACCCCATGTAATTTTGGACTAAAAAGCTACAGATAGTTTTTCTATCCAAACTAACGAAAAATGTAATACACACCATTTTTTAGAGTAGATTTTGTTTTCAGAAAAATTAGAATGAAATTAATACAACAAAAGTACAATTTTACCATCATTTTCTCCAAACCTAAAAATTAGATTAATATGTTAATTAAAATAAAATAAATTAAAATATAATTAAGAATTGAACAAAAATATAAAATATAATTAAGAATTGATCTAAAATGTAATTACATTAAATTTAAATTAAATTAACATGTTACAAATTATAATAAATAATTAAGAATTTAGGATTAATTGTGTGTTAAAATATAGTTAAATTAAAATTAGATTAAAAAGTTAGTAATTACAATAAATTCTTAAATATTTAGGATTAATTGTGATCTAAAATATAATTAAATTAAAATTAGAATAAAAAATTAAGAATTACAATAAATAATTAAGAATTTGTAATTGTAATTTAAGTGAATTAATAGTAGACATTATAAATTATGTGTATGAGAGATGAGAGATAAAGAAAATAACAAAAAAATATTACTGTTTGAGGGTATTATAGTCATTTTACATCTATAATTTACATATTTCAATAGTTGTATTTTAGTTCAAAATCACACCAGAGCATATAGCTATTTTTAAAAGATAACGGGTAAAATGTTATCAAGTCATATGACAGGAAAATAAAATAAATTTTGCCCAGAAAGAGAGTACACCATACATTTTTGTAATCAGCAATGGTAGAGGGCCACAAAAATAGTAGCTCAAATGGCTCAAAACTGTCAAAACGACGTCGTTTGGGGAGCAAAAGTTTTGAGCCATTTGAGCCACTGTTTTTGTGGCCCTCAAACATTTTTCTTTTGTAATTGCTTGAGACTAGTAGACCACATTTAAAGTTTTGTGGTTTTCAATATGAGTAAACAATATACAAGTAGAAAATTCATACAAAATGATATAGCTCCATATAAATTTTTAACTTCAAAGCAAAACATTCATTATTACTAAAAAAAAAACATTATTGCATCATTCTTATTATAATTTTTTTATATAAGTTTTTTGTATTGATAAATTTTCCTTTCACTATAAAGATCACGTTGCACCAAAATAATAACAGGCTAAGGCATGTTTTATTAAAAAGATTTGTTGAAGTATTCTACAAAAATCTCAACCCAATCAAAACAACTAGTAAAAGTATTCTTGAAAATTTGACATTCAAGGTATGTTTGGCTAACTTATTCTATTTTGAATAGAATCCAAATTGGGAAGATTAAATCAAAACATTGCATTAAAACTGCATTAATACTTATTCTATTTTTCTTTGCTAATCAAAAAAAAAAAAAAAAACTGAAGTATATTCAAACCTTACCTACAAATTGGCAGTGTTTGCATTGCCGATCAAGCGAGACCTCCATCGGTTCTTCGACAACAAACAGCAAGACATGAACTGGAGGGTGTCGATGGACCTCGAGTTGAAATGACCAACTTGCCATTCCACAACACAAATCACCCTCCAAATTCCCAAATTCCAAAAGGCTCTCCACATTTTGCCAAAATGTGCCACCCCAATCCACAGGATAGCCTTGTTCACCAAATGTCTTGAACTTAAACACCCTCTCTCCTCTCTTCCTTTTCTTGCTGCCAAACAGGTCCAAATGTGACATGTTTCAGACAGAGAGAGAGAGAGAGAGATTCCAATGGATTTTATGAACTAGAACAAACTTATATATGGATTGATCAAACACACACATATGGTGCTTAGAAATAAAATTGGAGAGAGCTCAAACGAGCCCATCGGTTTAACAAAGTGGAATAGAGATGGCTCACTATCTGCATGATTTGTTTCAAAAATAGATCTATGCAAATCTATCGCGGAATATGTGTACATGGATAAAACCTTTTATAGTAAATTAATGGCACCATACTTTTGATCTTGCACCTATCATAATGAGATCCTCTATTCCCAGATCTCATTTTGTTCTCTTATCTCAAAACACTGTCAATCGTCAGATCATGTATTGAGATTAAAGTACATTAATGGAGATTTGTTGAATATACTTCTTTAGAGGAATATGAAACCCAAATTGGCTGATTAAATAAATATTTAATTTAGTTTGGTATTAGTTATAATATATTTTTCATATATTATATTTAATTTTTAGAGATCCAATAAATATTTTATAATTTGTTTGGTAACAATTAGGGTTTTAGAAGAAAAAAAACTCAAGAATCAAAATAATTTTTTTTGTATTGTTTATTTTTCGGAGGGGGCAGCCGTGGTTATTATTGATGGTGGGTGAGATAGTGCTTGCCTATAACCTAATTCGATGGGTTTGTTCTTGAAGCATAACTTCTTGTGTGAGTGCCTTTGGATCAAAGTCAATTCGGTGGAGTTCTAACTTTGTTGGATTTATTTTTTTTTGTTGTACTTCGCAGTGTTAGTGGAAGTTATTTTGATTTAGATTTGTGGTTCTTTTAATTTTATTTTGAATATTTTTGTTCACCTATTTTGGTGAGATTTTCTTCTATTTATTTGTGATTATTTAGAATTCACCTAAGGGTGGTTTGTGAGTCAATTCATGTCTCGTTTGAAATCGTTTGAGAACTCTTGGTTAATAGTAGAATCAGACTACGGGTTCGTGAACGTACCTCACATTGAGAGAATCGCGTATAAATTCTTATGTCGTTGATTTAATTTTTTTCACATTAGTTTTATTTTCTTAGATTGATTTACGTATGGAAAATCATTTATTTGATTTAGTCATTATTAGTGTTTTTTAACAAGTGACAGGGAGATTTAGAGATAAAAGATCTCATTTTGTAATGATTAACCAATTATATCTCTTTATACTCCGAGACCATAGTTTTAAATATCAGCTGATATGATTCAATACGTTTTAGGTTTTTTTTTTTTTTTTTCCTTTTTCGATATCCATACATTTTCAGTATATTGATCAAATTTGTTCTCAAAATATATCATTTCATGAAGAATTCAAGAGCTAATTTACAACCGATAGAGTTAGTTCACATCTAATATGGTCAATTTAATTTATATAAAGCAATTATTTGGAGCTAATGATAAATTCATGATGGTGATGCTTGATATGTAATATGTAACACTAGATACTTTTGATACCATTATATTATGACCGGTACCGATATGTTTCCTAATACTATTATTTAAAACTTGACATGTTGAAGTTTATCTTAAAAGAATACAAATATATTTCTTGGCCAACTACCCTTGAGAAGAAGATACTTGCGGGTTAATAAGTGAATCCATCACCTAATAAGTGAGATCTGGTTGAAACTTGAGGGTTAATTTGCATGTTGCAAATCTAAGAGAGCTCCCCAACATATTTAAACTCTTATTTGTATGGAATAGCTTTGAAGTTGAGCTTTCATTTTTGTTTCACGTTTTTGTTTGGTTGGTGGGATAGCTAATGTTCCAAAATCAATGGTTTTGAATTCTTCTTAAATTTACCGTATAAATTAATTAATTAAATTAATCAAGACATTCAAACATCATGGTACCTAGCAACGACAAATCTCTAAATAATATCTAATTTGGTAAGTCATGCACTCTTACACCTCTATTCATCGTTTTAGATTGTAATAATTAAATTGTAGTATATATTGTTAAATTACGTGTGACTGATATTGAGAGTATCTAATAATACATATCAATAACCAAGCACATAAATGTAAATTATTTAAAATAATTAACAATCACACTAAAAGCGAATGATTTGTGTTGTTGATACAGTTTATCCCAGTGAATGGAGCGAACTGGTCCAAGCTCCTCAAGCCCAAGCCCAAATGATCGTGCCCACCGGATAACCTGTAAACAAGTTCAACGGGGAACGGGGTAGTCCCCCAGTGAACCCTCCAACGAGCAAGTTAGGAAGAGAAGTGGAGTATAGAGGGAGAGATTAGAGATAGAACGCTTAACCTTCTTCTTGTCTTCAACGTTCGCTTATATCCTTTGGTAATCATTTCGCTGTCCCTTCCAACCTGCTCTCCTCGCCGAAAGCCTATTGTAACAACCCTCACCTTACTCTTGTCATACTTGCATACATTCCTGCATGAACCTGCCTTGTTATTTTGTTTTTGAAGGTTTTGCCTTGTCTTGATTTGCTTAAAGTTGCTAGCATGATTTTGATCTTTGCTTGGTGTGTGTGTGGCCGAGGTCCTCTTGAGCTTAGTTCGCCTTTGAACCCTTGTACTTAGAACTATTTTGAGACCTTGGTCGACCCCCATCTTCACCTCGGGCATTTATTGCCGAGATGTTTTGCACCCAGTGAACCTTGTCCTTGGGCAGGTATGGCCTAGGCCGAGATGTGGCACACCCCGGCCAAGGTGTGGCACAGCTTAGTCAAGCGTCGTCCTCCCTAGCCGATGTTTTGTTACCCCGTTGCCTTATCCTTGATTCGAGCCGATATCGTTCATTGCCGATGTGTTGTACCGAGCTTGCTGCATACGCTTTGTCAGAGACTTTTCTTATCAATCAATCACCTTTTTGAGCTGAACCAACCCGGTAGCGCCACGTGTCCGAGCTGATTGTTAAGACAGCCGGCAGACCTTGAAACACATCATTTTTCTTGCCTCAAATCTTTACCCTTAGAGAGAGAAGCTCTAGAGAGAAGGAAGAGATGTTCTTGAGTGAGAGCAAGTCTTCCAAGCTTGATCTTTGTGGTTTGAACCGTTGGATTCGAGTTTTGGGGTAAGGATCTTAATCTACTTTGATTATTGTTATTGATCATCTAGCTGCATTGCATGATCGAATCTGTTTTGCATGCCATGCATCGATTTGAAGTTGGTTTTGGAAAGAGAAAATGGTTTTTCATATGTTCTTGAAGAAAGTCTCGTTTTGATCCGAAAGTTTAGAACGAAAACCTTGTTTTGTGTTTATTCTTGCATGACCATCTTCTATAGGTACCCAGGTCCATGTTTTGAACTCTTGACATGAAATCCCAGATTTTTATAACAAGTTTTGAGCTCACATTCATCTTTCTCTCGATCATGTTCATCATGTTCTTCTTGTGCTTCAAAGGGAAAACCCAGGTTTTCCCGACTTTGCTTTTGACTGAGGCCAACGGGACCACACCTCGGCAAGGATGTGTGGAACCTCGGCAAGGACCTGGTTGGTACCCAGTTTGTTTTCCTGAGACGGGAGTAGTGTTTAAACTCCCAGCATGTTTTGCTTTGTTATTGACTTGGATCTGTTAAGAATGCCGAGATCATTCGTATATGGGTATAGCTCGTTTTGAGAATGTGATTTGCCATGTGATTGTAGGTCCTTGATCTTTACTTTGAGTCTACACCTGAAGAACTAGGTGAGTGGTATTATTGATAAAGCTATGTTATACTTGTTTTTGTAAATCTTGCTCTCATGTCTTTGTTTTAGACAAAATGTTTTGTTAAGCATGAATGAATAGCTTTTGTTTTGATATGACAAGTGTAAATCCTTGTGTTTTGATGCCATCTTTGAAAAGGATACGGTCCTTGTTAAATCGGGCTACGGGCCTAAGTAACACAAGTCCCTTGTACTGAAAGGACTCTAAACTTTCGCAGTACTAAGTGTAAAAAGATACGGTCCTTGTTAAATCGGGCTACGGGCCTAAGTAACACAAGTCCCTTGTACTGAAGAGACTCTAAACTTCGCAGTACTAAGTGTAAAAGGATACGGTCCTTGTTTAAATCGGGCTACGGGCCTAAGTAACACAAGTCCCTTTGTACTGAAGGACTCTAAACTTTCGGCAGTACTAAGTGTAAAAGGTACGGTCCTTGTTAAATCGGGCTACGGGCCTAAGTAACACAAGTCCCTTGTACTGAGAACTCTAAACTTTCGCAGTACTAAGTATAAAAGGATACGGTCCAATTCTTGAAAAAGATTACTATGTTAAATCGGCTACGGGCCTAGTAACACAAGTCCCTTGTGCTGGAGGCTATAAACTTTCGCAGTACTTTGACTAAACGATTACGGATCGTACAGCCCTGATACTTGGAATACTTGATTGATGAATACGGTTCATCCCTTGCTTCGTCGATGTTGTAATACTTGATTGATGAATACGGTTCATACCCTTACTTCGCCGATGTTGTAAATACTTGATTGATGAATACGGTTCATCCCTTGCTTCGCCGATGTTGTAATACTTGATTGATGGATACGGTTCATCCTTGCTTCGCCGATGTTGTAATACTTGATTGATGAATACGGTTTCAATCCCTTGCTCGCCGATGGTTGTAATACCTGATTGATTAATACGGTCCATCCCTTGCTTCGCCAATGGTTGTAATACTTGACAAGATAAATACGGTTCATCCTCGTTTTGCCGATGTCAGTAAGCATCTCCCTGAGACTTGTAAGACTTAACAGATGAATACGGTTTATCCCCTGTTCGATAAAGTTTCGACGAGTTTTGTTTTGAAAGACTTCGGCTTTATTCATGCAAACCTTTATTTTAGTAGCATTCACTGAGTATCCAGCTCACCCTCTCTATATATATGTAGGTGATGAGCAGGACGTTCGGTGACGCCTAGACTGTTTTGAAAGCTTGTTTTGGATCCGTGCTTATGTCGGCTTTAATTTGCATTCATGTCGGCGAATCTTGAAAATCATGCTTCTTGGCTTGTAATTGCTGTATTTTGTATATGTCGG